ATTCGTCTTAAACTTGAATAATGAGTAATAATGATTTCTCATATATTTTTTTCCACAAAAGATTCTCTTGAATAGATTAAATTAAGATTCAGCGAGAAGTAAGAAACATCAACCGCAATGCAAAAGATAGGAAGAGATTTATCCACCAGACATGGTACTGTTGAATAAATAAAATCATTAGTAATGAGTGGTAGAGGTAATGGTTTATAAACCAGACGATGGACTGGAAGCTACCCCGTCTGATATTTCATAAGTGGGGCATGAGACGGGTTAAGAGTAGGCAGAGCACATGCTATGTTTTTTCACGACGGAGAGGAAATGTATCACCAATAAGAACATGTGTGTTTAAAGATATTTGCTTCTCACCAATAATAATGGTTTTCCTCGGGTATTCACCTTGGTTGTAAGCAAATGTATAACACAATTCTTGACTTGATAAATAAGTGAAGAATGGGACTTCTAATCTCACCACCTTTACTTTTCGTAAATTAGTCAAACCTTAACCCACTGGAATCCTACTTACATTTAGCGACTCTAATCAAAGTTTTGATGAATGATTTAGCAAGAACATAACTTACGACTTATGTTTGCTATATTGACAAGTTGTGGAAGAAATGCATGATTCATTTTAAAGGGAAACATAGAGGTTTTCAAAAAAGCTATATATAATCAACAACACACATATGATCTAAACACAACCGTTTCCTGTATGAATTATCATACTATAAACCGCCGAAAATGTTAATGTCTTTAAGAAAATAACAAAAAAATGTCATAACTAAAACGCAAGTATAAACATGCCAATCTTGGTTTATGGCTTCACTGGAGATGAGACTGCAACCAGACCGCACCACCAAAAGAGATGTAGGATTAAGCGTGGTGATACAGGATGACACCTTTTGCCACTGAAGAAGCTAAAGTGTTCCATGAAACTGTGACATAATCAATGGACCAAGAACCCAGCTTTGGAGATTGGTAATACTGAAAATTAGATAACACAATTCTGTGAAACGCTCCGAATGTAACAAAAAATTTCAAGCTTCAATAGAAGAAGACTCAAGGAAAATATTCGTCTCATGAATTCAACTGCTACGATCATAAATCTGCAACATGCTTGAAGTGTGAAAGGAGAAGGTTCATAATTGTTGGACTGGAATATAAAGAAACATATTTTGTAATTTTGTAATTGTGTATGCGTTACAAAGTTATAGTTGTTTTATTTTATTGTTACAATGTGGAAACTGAGAAAGCAGTATTTGATTAAATTATAGACATTAGTCAAAACATCCAAAACTGAAAAGATTAAAGGACTGTGTTACTTTGTTTGGTTTTAGTCTTTAAAGAGAAAATTACCCCTTAGAAAACATCTATATGTGGTTTGGTTCATCTTAATTTTCAAATTATCAATGGTTACACTACACTTAAATTATGTTGGCTAAATTACGTGAACCACTGTTAATCATTAGAAAATGTCCTACAAATAATTTTGTTATAAAATTAAGTTCAACAAATTAAAAAATGATTTACAAATACTAATTAATAAAACACTAAAATTAGAAAAAAAAACATTATAAATTGAAAATCTAAGATAAACTGAAACAGACATATATTATAAAACTTTATTTGTTGTTAAATAATATATTCATAAATTATTGTTTGTGACATTATTAAAATTATTTGTATATTGCCTTAAAATACTTCTATGATTTTATCAAATTATATTATATTTTCAATTGATTTAAATTGGTGGTCGTTTAATTTATTATCTTGATAAAATTAGTTATTGTGATAGTATTGAAACTATACTCACAGAAATAAAAATTAGTTGTTCATATTTCCCTCAACTATATTAAAGTGAAATACAAATAAAAAGAAAAAAAATATAAATCATTACAGTTATTAACTTTTAATTTCCTAATTTTGTGTTCTCTAACAAAAAATGTGAGTGGTCCCTTCAACTCAAACCAATAAAATTTACAATTTTTTTTTTAAATAAATTATTTCACAGTTACAGTTTAAAGTAATTTTCCCAAAATATTATACAATAAAAATATTATTTGACCAACAAAATTAAAATATTTTAAATAATATTAATATAAAGTAACCCACCCGTAGGGCGGGCCAACCACTAGTTTAATATATGACTTCCATTCCAAAATAGATGATGTTTTGAATAGTTATTTATGTTTCAAAATATATGATGTTTTGGTATTTTTATATTAATTTTGGTTTTATTGAAGATTGTGTAATCAATGATATTTTCTTAATTCTTTTAATGATTGGTTGAACTAGTTGTTATTTATGTGTTTAAGTGATACTTTTTTATGTCTTCTTGTGCATTGAACCAAAGTGAAATGGAAGAAGTATTAGTTATCAAACTCAACAATTTGATCTGTTCCAAACATGTGGTGTAACTTGGTGGAAAACATAAACTGATCTCTTCACTCGATTAGAAGAGAACAATAACGATCACTACCATGAAAGCATTTTGAAACTAAGATAAATGTGTGTTTAAGGGACTCAAATCAAAGATATCTCAAAGAACTAACGAGAACTAACAAGATCGATTTATATCATAAAAAAAAAGAGTTTAATGTGGCTGCAACTATGGCAGCCAAAGTTATTTTACAAGATGTTTCAAGACATTTATATAAAGAAAAACTATCAAGAAACCTTGAATCAAGGTCCATTGAATCATACTACACTCAAAAACAACCTTGATTTTATATATGTAGCAAAATAGAGTATATCTGAACTTGCGAATAACCTAAATATGATTATCAATATTGTTTTAGAGATCTAATAAGTCCATATCATTTCAATGGTGTGTTTAATAAAGAACAATACAGCAAGGTTCATTGTCTACTCTGTTCTAATTGAATCATATTCTAAGTATTTCAAGCGTTTCTTGGTTAAAGATCACTTAATCTGTTACAGACACTACGAACTACACTCAAACAACCTTGGTTTTTAAGTTATTTGAAACAGAGGGGCCATCGTTCGTGCTATATAACAATGATCGTGTATTGAAAATTAACTAAATAGCAAGGTTCTTCATTGGTCTAATTGAATCTTTCCCTGCCATTACTGATGTTTAGGGCCATTGTTTGTGCTATACAACTGTGAATCCTTGACCAAGTTCGTAACAGTGAGTGCCTTTTCCTCCTATGTAATTGCTTCTGTTATGCGTATATTCCAAGTTTTTTTCCTTAATGCGTTTTATTATCCTATATGAAAGGAAGATTGTTTTTAAGTGTTTTTTGTCTATGCCCTTTCATTATAATAGTGAATCGACGAATCTTATTCAAACAACGACTTTCTGTAAGTCAATTTTGTTTCTGGTTTATTTCAATGTTGGTTCATTACATTAATTAACTCATGTCTTATTCAGAGTACTTTATTGTCGTTTGGTTTGGTTCCAGAACCAAAAGCCTCCATTTGCTTTTCTGTACATCAATTTAAATTTGTGTTTGCTTTAGTGAGTTGGTTCACTAGATCAACTACTAATTCCTTCTTACTAAGTAGTTGTTATTCGGTTTGGTTTTAGCCAATTTAGTTTCTGGTTTACTTTAATGTTGGTTCACCTATGTAATTGCCAGTCTTTTGCAAAGTGTTTGGACCTTTTATATAAAGCCGGATTAGCACCAGTGGCGGAGGCAGACAGTTAGTTTAGAAGGGTCAATATGATAACAAATCATGTATTTTGCAGGGGTCAATAAGCTAATTCATCAAAATTTTCAGTAAAAATACAAGTAAATTTTTTTGTTTGCAAAATTTGACATGGGTCAATTGACCCCCCTGATTGCTTACTGCCTCCGGCACTGATTAGCACTGAGGTAAACAGCCGATAGATTATCACACAAGAGCAGCGTTGGGTTGGCCTATACACCCCTAGATCATGCAGGAGGGACAGCCAAGGTACTTCCCTAAAAAGCTCCATATTCGGCTTCAGTCAATGATCCTGAGATCGTGTCTTGACGTTTAGATGAAGTTAGACCCAAGTAGCATACTCACACAGGTGGTTGGTTTGGTTTGGTCTAGTCGGGTTTGGCTTTACAGCATTTCGTGGACACGGTTTTGTCGTTTATAGAATCCGATAATATCAGCCACTAGATCACGTTAGTTCGTGTATAAGTGAAAGTTCATTAATATATGGTTTTTAGAGTCTGATAATATACACATTCCCACATATAAATAGTCTATATTATTGTCATTTGGTCATATATGCAAACAGGTAGCTGCAAGTTGATCTGCATACCACGTAGTACCAAAATTGACCCAAAATATATAAAATTTTTTGCCCACTTATGACTTTAAAGATAACTATCACATTAAACAACACTATGATATTATATTGCATTGATTTGACAAAAAAACATTGGAAGTGTCATGAGAATGTCTCACTCGTTTCATCATCGTTCCATTAAACATATAAATATAATTTCTCAAAAAAAACATATAACTATATAAAACATATAAACATTTTACTTTAAAAACAACAAAATAATTACTTGCATGTGGGGTTTTATGGTATAATCTTTTGCATGTGGGTTTGAGAAAATAATATTTGCATGTGGGCAGAACATGGGATTTCCGAATGATATAAATTTCCGAACATATATGTTGTGCGTATAATTTGTATAACTTGGGTTCAAAAGACCAGCCTTAACTGAAGCATATTGCAGTTTTTCATTTATTTTTGTTGCTAAAAGTCTATTGTTGGCATTTTTAGTTTGAATAGTAAACATATAAATAAGACACAAAAGTAAAAATCCAAAAACAAAATTCGAAAGTTTCACAGAAACCATAGCCATCGGCAAGATCTGAAACTTTTAGAGACGAAACACGAACAGCAAAATACAAAATTTTAATAAAGGGAAACAGTCTAAAAGACACATAAAATGATAAAAACATTAGAGAAACAAGAAAAAAAAAGGTTAAAAGCAAAGTAATCCAATCATTAAACTAATTCACCAAAATCTAAAAACTTCCACAATTTTCCCGAGTAATATATAAACGCCGTAGGAGAACGAAAACTAATCAGAAACTTTCAAAAGATCGGATGAACCGAAAACAGATCTTGCCCTCAAAGAAAATCAACATGATGAATCTTCTAACTTTTAAAATCTTCTAACTTCTAAAACTTTATGGTTTAAATAATAGCCGATACAGGAGCAAAAAACAATGTGGCATGTTTCAGTCTCTCACCACATGCCAAACGTTGATTAGTACCCCCCCTCTTACCTTTTTCCTTTCTATTTTGTCTTTTCCCGCATCTGCATGCATCACTCTCTTTCCCTCTCCAATTATTCTTCTCCTATAAATTTGACCACATAAATGTCACACATACACACATAGAAAAAATCTCCACATCTCAAAAATATCCCAAAACTTTTTCAAATTAAAAAAACGCCCACAGATAAAAATGAGAAACAATTTCGTCCCTGCAACTCTCTCCTTCCTCACAATCATCATCATCCTCTTAACTCCGTCACTCGCACAACCAGAACCTTCCTTTGTCTCCCCCGTAGACCAACTCCTCAACAAAACAAGCTCATGGCTCGAATTTCCGACCAAATTCAACCAACCAAAAATCGAACTAACAACCTCAACAATCATCGCCGCCATACTCTCTTTCCTCGCCGCATCAATCTCAAGCGCTGGAGGAATCGGCGGCGGAGGGTTGTACGTTCCAATAATGACAATCGTCGCCGGACTCGATCTGAAAACAGCTTCGAGCTTCTCTGCTTTCATGGTCACAGGAGGATCCATCGCCAACGTGGGATGCAACCTCTTCGTGAGAAACCCTAAAGCTGGAGGCAAGACGATGATAGACTTCGACTTAGCTCTGCTTCTGGAGCCGTGTATGCTTCTCGGAGTTAGTGTCGGAGTGATATGTAACCTCGTGTTCCCGAACTGGCTTATAACGAGTCTCTTCGCCGTGTTTCTCGCGTGGTCGACTGTGAAGACTTTTGGAAACGGGATTTATTATTGGAGGATGGAGTCGGAGATGGTGAAGAGGAGAGAGACGAGACGAGCCGGAGAAGATGATGATGAGGATAAGATGGTGAGTGTGAAGACGCCTCTCTTGGGAGAGTGCGAGAGACCGAAGAGGTTTCCATGGATGAAGCTTGGAGTTTTGGTGATTATTTGGCTTTCTTACTTTGCTGTTTATCTTCTCCGCGGAAACAAATACGGCGAGGTAATTGATAAACTTAATTTAATTTATTTAAAGTCATTAAAATCAAGAAAGAAAAAAGCTTTGTGAGTTTGGAGAAATAATAATAATCTAAGAAATCAAATTATCGAATTATTTGTTAATCATGAATATAATATTCTTTGTGAATCTTCCTTTGTCAGGAGTTATTATTGAGTTCTTTTTTAAAAAAAATTAAATTCAGTTTTATTTTAACTGGATGACATGTGGATTTGAGTCCATAACACTTCTAAAGCTGTTCTTTGGAAAATAATTTTCTTACCATAAAAAGAAACAACTATGAAATGAGAATTGCATGTCATGAATAGTTTAACAGTCAATAGAGTAATAAAAAAATCAAATATCATTTTGGTAATGATTTTGTAAGATATCAAATCAAAATTTAGCTTTTACTAGGTTAGAATAGTTAAATAGATCCTTTTCTTTAAAAAAAAAGATTCTACAGCTTAAGTAAAATTTCAAAAACTCAATCAAGTATGGTTGGTGTGCTTAATAGTCATAAAGTTGGTATTTAGATTATGAAAAATTAGGTGAGACTTAAGTAAGATGAGGTATAAATGAGAAGTAAATTAAACACGTTTGAATATTGGTCTCATCTACCCTCATGTCATGTCTTTTATTTGGGAATCACGTGTGAAGATGCGTTTGAAATTCACGATAGGGAACTTAATAGCGATGGCGAACTTGTTCACGTGAAGACAGGTCATCATCAATAATGTGGTTTCTAGATTTTGGTCGTATCCTAAGGAACTTTCGTGTCTTTTTCTTGTTAGGATCTTCGTTGCACTTTTTAAGATTCTCTTAACCTTTCAGGGACACTTGGGTTACTATTTTGTTTCTTTCTCTCCTTTTCTGAAAAGTACAATCTCTTACATAATATCTCTATAGTGATTACTGATTAGTGACATTAAATTGAGGATAAAAATAATATGAGTACATGTAGGAAAGGTAGATTCTTGACATATTTCTAATATCATGTGTTTATATTATCTTTTTGGGTGGGATGGATTCTCTTAAAATCTAGATATTTAAACAAAAGCCTTGACAAAATCTGCACTGATAAAAATCCATGATGAACTTTTTTCCTGTCATTTTCGGTTAGGAATGATTTTATTTGCTAATCATATATTTATTTTCTTCTGTATTTCGAAAATCAGTTTTGTTGAACAATCTTTTGATATAATGAATATACAGTTTGAATGACATAAAAACAAACTAACAAAATACAATGTGCATCATATAATGAACACTCACTCTCTTCTTCGGTAGAATTTACAGTCTTGTTAAAAATTTACAGAAAACAGTATGACAAATGACAATGTGTACTAAGTAATCATTCTACCAACTAACTTATTTCACTGATTTGCATTTGCAGGGAATCATATCGATTGAACCATGTGGAATCACTTACTGGCTTCTCTCATCAACTCAAATACCACTCACACTATTGTTCACTCTTTGGATCTGCTTCAGTGACAATGTTCAAGGCAACGAGTGTTCAGATCACCAAGTCTCCGTTAAGGTTTGATTTCACATAACTCAAGCAAACACACTTGATTAGTTTTCTGAAAGACATACGACTGATGCTTATCTGAAAACGACTTTCCACGTGCAGGACATAGAAGATTTGAGATCAAATGATGGAGGAAGATCAAACAAATGTATGTTTCCTGTAATGGCTCTACTAGCTGGACTTTTGGGTGGTGTTTTCGGTATTGGAGGTGGAATGCTCATTAGCCCTCTCCTCTTGCAAGTTGGTATTGCTCCTGAGGTAATTATGAGTTTATGGCTCAGTCAAAATGAGACTTCAATTTTCTAGATTAAGTAAGAAGAAGCTCTGTTTTTGCTAGATCTCTAGTTAAGAGAGTATTTTATTGTTTGTTGTTTGTAGGTAACTGCAGCGACGTGTTCTTTCATGGTTCTGTTTTCATCCACAATGTCTGCCATTCAATACTTGTTACTAGGCATGGAAGATACCGGAACCGCTAGTCTATTCGCGATTGTATGTTTTGTGGCATCACTCGTTGGACTAATGGTGGTTCAAAAGGTTATAACTCAGTATGGAAGGGCTTCCATCATCGTGTTTTCGGTTGGTATCGTCATGGCATTGAGTATTGTGTTGATGACAAGCTATGGAGCTCTTGATGTTTGGAATGATTTTGTCTCCGGTCGTTACATGGGTTTCAAACTACCTTGTTGAGACCAACCAAATAAAGTTTTGGTTTCATAATAGCAGTGTCTATTCATCATGTTCTATCATGTTTTTGTGTTGCTCATTGTTCCATTTTTGAATGATTTTTATATTTAATATTCAGAATGCACATCTCGTGCATTCGAATATATGGTCAAAATAAGTTATGTTGTAGACCAAAATTCACGTTCATATAAAATCTTATGCATTTCTTAAATCATTTTACTGCCACAACAGTATTAAGATGAACTTGTGGTAACTGATATATATCTTAATAATTTCCAGATAAAACAGAAGTGTCACATGTTAGCCTAACACTAGAAAGATTCATGAATACCGAAACAGAAGTCACCAAAATCTGTATACATGAATCTTTATTTTTAAAAATGTAGCCATGTTAAGTTACAAAAACAAATGTAGCCATGTTAACCAGGTTAAGACTTCTAGTATTAGGATAACATGTGACTCTTCTATTTTATGTATCTGTGTTTCCTTCCTCAGTTCTCTTTTGCGGTCTTAACCTTTGTCAATAGACTTCTGATACAATTTTTAAATTCTCTTCTTGCAAGGATACTACGAGGGAAGTACTACATATTTTTGCAATCAGGTGGTATTTTTAGCCTTTCTTACATTTGGAAAAGTTTATTGGCAGCAAAAGCGCTAGGGATCGAACAAAAGGTACACTCTGGTTTTGGGATTATAGCATGGGACGATTCATGGGTTCTGAGTGTTCCTGCAAGGCCGGCAAGACTGTGTGCTCTAGTAGTTCATCCTCGGATGAGAGTGAGTGATTTCATTCAAGGAGAGCCTAAAGAGTTGGATGTGGAGTGCTGTAATACCTTGCAGCATTGGAGGATACACCACTGATTCAGAGTTTAGTTGTAAGCCAATCTGCTCGACGTGATAAGTTTTTTTTAAAGTTATACAAAGAGTGGGCAATACACTGTAAAATTAAAATATTGGATGGCTAGGAATATCTTAAATGCTGAATCTAAGGTAATCATAACTAAGATGAACATCACGAAGCTTCAAGGTTTTGCTTGGAAAATCAAAGCTCCTTTTCGCTATCTTAAATGGAAGATCGAATATATCATCTAGCGGTAACATGAAATCTAGCACATCACCGAATAAGATGTGATAATCAATGTCCTGATGCTGAAGTAGATGAATTGATAAAACACACCATTTTTGAGTGATCCCTCAGCTTTATAAACTTGGGCACTTTTATCAATTCAATCTTATCCATCGATTTTTTCTGGTTTCTAGTGTCTGCACTAATATGGATTATTTGTTCTGGCAGAAAAATGAAAATGGAAACCCGAAGTTAAATAGAGATCCTTACCCATGGATAACATGATATCGCTGGAAACTAAGAACGATAAACTGTTTAGAAAAATCACAATAGATACCAAATAATTAGTAAGACATGCAGAGGGTGAATATATGGCATTGTTCAAAGCAAATGCAAAGGCAACAGTGGAGGTTGAATCATTACATCATCCAATGACTGCTTAAAATATTTGCTTTACTGATAGATCATGAATTCTTGAATCCCATTTTAGTGAATGTGTATGGGTCTGAAAAAAACTCTAACATGATCAATTTTTGGAGATAAGGAATTTTTGGGGTCAAAATCGGTCACGACGGAATCAATGTCCGAAAGTTCATGGAAAACCAACTTCCGGTCAATCTTGTCGGGTTTAAATACGGTTATCTCGAAATTAATGGCTAGGATTACCATCTTACGTATTCTTTGCGGAAAACTTCTCAAACAAGAATTCCCGAAAGGATCAATACGAAAAGAGATAGGTCAAAACTCGAGAACCGAACCGTCCCGGCCAAGATCACCTCGCACATAGGCGAGATGGACCGAGGCCGATGTCACCTCGCCCATGGGCGAGGTGAACCACCACCAAGGTCACCTCGCCCATGGGTGAGGTGAAACGGCACCAAGGTCACCTCGCCCATGGGCGAGGTGAAACGACACCAAGGTCACCTTTCCCATGGGCGAGGTGAACCAGTACGATGTCACCTTGCCCATGGGCGAGGTGAACCAGCACCGGTGTCACCTCGCCCATGGTCGAGGTGAACCGAGACAAAGTTCATCTCACCCACGGGCGAGGATAGCCTGATCCCGATCCTATTAACCATTTGCCCTCGTCTTAAGTTCCCATAACACGATCCTAGGGTCTTTGGACACGACACCTCCGTCTCGAATTATCGAAGAAAGACTTCAGAAAGATCATAAAAACTTGTTTGTAGAGAGGATCCCTTCAAAATCGTATAAAACGGCTACGGTTGACTTAAACACCAACTGCCTTAACTATACGAGGAATTGGGATCCTCTCAGAAAGATCAATGCCACGTCTAAGGTTACTTCCCGGAAAAATTGTAAAAACGTCCAGAGTCCCACAACTGCTCAAGGAGGCCTGGATCACGGCCCAACGGCCCACTTACGATTTTAAATGGATTGAGCCCCAAGGCTGGTATGACGGTCTATTTTATTTGCTGGAAAAGATAAATGTCAAGTTTCCAAAAGATAAACATGAAGTCTATGAAGATAAATGTCAAGTTTCCGAGGATAATCATGAAGGATGACGAAAATGGAAAAGCCCGATTCGGCCCAAGAGGAGGAGTAACCCGCCCTAGGGGGAGTATATAAGGGGAGCTTGGGGCGAGGAGCAAAGAGAGAGCTTCTTCAGAGCAACTTAGCACTTAGAGCAATTTAGGCATATTTTTACTAACCTACTATCGAGCTGTGACTCAAGTAGGTTAGATTTAGGTTGTTAGACTAGCAAACATACCGACAGCTCTTGTAGCCGAGGTCCTTACCTGTTGTCCACGCTCAAACGCGAATTCGGAAATAAGATCCTCCTATTCTCTTTTTTTCCGCTCTTTTACGTTTTTCTCGCTTTTAACTCCTTCATATTGATTGTGTCGTGTGTGGCCCCACAGATAACCGGGACCTTCAGGGAAGGCTAAGTTAGCTTAGCTTTCCTCCGATTAACAAATCTCGACGGTGTGAATTTTGGTTCCCACAGTTTGGCGCTACAAGGAGGGGGTACGGATCTATCTCTCTCGCAACCACACACGCTCAATCAGCTATGAAATTCGACACTAACCAAGACCAACCAACGCATGATGGAACTTCCGTCAATGCCAACACTGAGAGTACTGTTGGTGTCAAAACCCGTAATCTCGAAATCAACGTCTACGATAACTTCTGGAATCATTACTTTCCGCAAAAGTCATTTATTAAAACTCGTGAGTCGTTTTATATAACTCGAAGATCGTTTTATAAAACTCGAAGATCGTTTTATAAAACTCGAGAATCGTTTTATAAAACTCGAAGAACCGTTTTATAAAACTCGAAGATCGTTTTATAAAACTCGAGAATCATTTTATAAAACTCGAGGAATCGTTTTATAAAACTCGAAGATCGTTTCATAAAACTCGAGAATCGTTTTATAAAACTCGAAGAATCATTTTATAAAACTCGAGAATCGTTTTATAAAACTCGAAGAATCGTTTTATAAAACTCGAAGATCGTTTTATAAAACTCGAGAATCATTTTATAAAACTCAAGAATCGTTTTATAAAACTCGAAGATCGTTTTACGAAACCGAAAAAAACCGAAACATCCGTAAAATGCGAACTAGTCCATCCCGACTAGTTCGCCCATCGGCGAACTAGTCCCATCACGACTAGTTCGCCCACCGGCGAACTAGGGACTTCCCGGATATCCCGCGCCTTGATCTCCCGCATTCCCGATTCGAAACTTACGTCCTTCGACACGGTCGCTTTCCGAACCACGACCGAAATGTCTCCCGTTTCGTCTCGATCCGTCCTATCGTTCGAGTTTAACGATAAAAACCGTAAAACTTTGTTTCTCGAAAAGAACTCGAGGAAATTGTATAAAACGGCAACGGTTAAACGAAACACCGAACATTACCTAAACTATACGATTTATTCGAGATTTTTCGTAAAAATCGTAAAAAACGCGTTTTTAATAAAAACGTCTAGTAAATCGTAAAAACGGCAACGATTAACCGAAGAAAACGAATGTAGCTAAACTTTACGATTAACTCGGAGAATTTACTAAAAACGGCATCGGATCAGGAAACGATCTCGTACAAAGTTGCAAAACGGATTTATCGCAAAACGGCCCGGAAGGTCCTAAAACGCGATAAAAAGCCCATCTCGCGATCTTGACGGAATCTAACCCAAAGATACGATAACGTTTTGACGGTTTACTCGCAGAAGGAAAATAAATGTCAAGCTTGAAGATAAAAGGCAGGTTTGAAAATAAATAGAAGATTTCCGCGGAAGAAAAGGAAGGATCGAGAAAAATGGAAGATTCCCGATATACTCAAATCTGGGCGAAATGGAAAGATCGAACCGTCAAGTCAAGGAGTATATAAACCAGAGGCGTAGGGCAGAAGAGGGGGACGAAAATCAGACCTAAAACGTTTAGAATAGCAATTCAGATCCTTAGAACGTTTCGACGTCTAAGTTCTTCAATTCTTCTTGTAACAGTTGTCGATTCTTTATTTAATAAAAGCTTTCATACAAGTTCTTTATTCTCTGTTCTTCATTGTTCATCCATATTCTTTAAATTCGTTTGTTTTAGTGATTTCCGCAGAGATCCAGGACCACGTGAAAATTAGGGTTTCATCCTAAGTTTCCATATTTGACGGAAAATCGACGGTGTGGATTTCGGTTCATACAGTTTGGCGCTAAAAAGAGGGGGGGGGGGACGGATTCTCTTACACAATAGTCGCTAAAACGAACGAGAAATAACATGCCTAATCGGAACGGCGACGTCATCTCGTTCGATAAAAGAGCAACGATCGATTCGATCAAACCTCTCAACGATCTTCTCGTTATTAAGCTGACGATCCAGAATATGGATGTAGCAAGGATATTAGTCGATACCGGAAGCTCGGCTGATATCATCTTCCAAAATACTCTCGAGAGAATGGAAATCGATCTGTCTGAAATCGCGGAAAACATAAGTCCGCTAGTAGGACTCTCGGGGGAAATCACCATGACCCTCAAAACGATCAACTTGGCAGTTCGCGCCGGGAGCATAGTGAAAAACGTCGAATTCGAAGTCATCGACCGACCTATGTCTTACAATGCAATCGTAGGGACACCATGGGCAAATTCGATGCAAGCGATTCCGTCGACGTACCATATGTGTCTCAAGTTTCCGACTCCG